CTGAAATAGCCAAATTTTACTTGCTTTTATATAAAAGACAGAAGGATCATGCATAACCAAGAAAAAACATGAGAGAGAAGCATGGATTTATAAAAACAGTGTCAGGAAGACTAATGCTACATGAGCTAAGGCTTCCCCAAAATGGTCAAGACAACTAAAGGGGATTTTTAAAGTTATTTTTGGTGTATGAATAAGAACAAGGAAGGAATAGGCTGGCTCTTGTGTCTCTGAATTCCCTGGGAAGGAAAATGCTTTTGGGGCCAAAAAGAGAAGAAAGGGAAAAGGAGACACAGATAGGAGGTATGTGAAGTGAACGCTGGTGGAAGGATTTTAAGAAACTCTAAATTCCAGTTTCCCACCCAAGGAATTCCCACTGCCATGTTTCTCAACACCTTCCAGTGATCCTGGAGGAAACTTGCCAATGGGAAAAGGTGCCAACAAGAAAGAGAAGGGCAATTATCCTTCCTAATCTTGAGTCCACTGAATTTGAGGACAGCTCCAGGTACAATTCCTGAATAGGTTAACTAAAGGAACCACAGGGGCCTGGTTCCACAGAAGGCCATCAACCTATCAGCATCCAACCAATCTCACTGTGTCATGTGCTCACTGGACCAGCCTGTGGGGAGATACTATGGCTGACAGGTCACAAAGCCAAGGGCTTTGAGCCAAATCTGCTACAGATCTGTTTTAGTTGGTCTATGTGGTGTTCTTGTTTTTGTATGTTTTGCCAACATTCAAAAATTGAATTCCACATGAAACCCAGATTTTCTTGAAGGTGCACACTTCTGCCTGCCAAATTTGTAACTTAAGCAGTGGCTGCCACAGAACATAGCTGCTCCAGGCTCATCCTCAACTTCACCACTCCACCCTGCCTTGTTGAAACTAAGGCCAGAGTCAGGGATTACTTATTAATTGCCTGAATTAATTATCACTTCATTCACTTGTGTTACCTGCCAAGACCCTGTAGGCTTTTGAGTTTGCAACTTGGGCTGTAGATGTTCAGGTTTCACAAGGTCTGCCATGGCCCCTTTGAGGCCAGTGACAGTGAAGTACAGGCTGGAAGGGCTGGCTCAGTATGGCTGAATGACCATGCTTAAAGGGTACAAGTGGTATCAACAGCGGAAGGATCTGTAGTGGTCTGGCACAGAACTGTCCTATTCAACACATTTATCAATAATGATGGAGAAGGCACACTTATTAAATAGGCAGATGTTGAAAATAGGAGGGATAATGTTGAGTGACAGGACCAAATGTCAAAAGGTCAACAGCTGGAGAGGAAAAAAATCTAATGTGGTAAATAGGGTCATAAGTCCATGTTACTTAGCCTCCAAGTCACACCTATGCAAATTACAGGAGCAGCAGCAGCACATAACAGCAGCGGATACATATAAAAATGTCCTGGCAGTCAGGAGGGTAAAACACCAAGAGCTAAATGATGGCATACTCAATATGATGTGAAGTGACAGCTTCTTTTTTTTTTTTAAAGTTTTTTTTTTTTGGACACCAAGCCTCAAGCTGTCACCCTGGGTAGAGTGCTGTGGCATCATAGCTCACAGCAACCTCCAACTCCTGGGCTCAAGCGAGTCTCCTGCCTCTGCCTCCCAAGTAGCTGGGACTAGGGGCACCTGC